GCCTGCTGGGAGCACCAGGTACTGTTCCGATACGGTGCTCCGGAGGGCCCGCCTGCACTCCTTACTGGTATTTGAGCCGATCGGGGCTTTCAAACATGTGCACAGAGCATATGACGCCTATGCGACACTCCGCTGAGCAACTGGAGCATCGCCGAGCCATCGCGGAGCGTCGCAGGTGGTAAGTACACATGTGCGCGCTCTGCGCGTGCTGTGCATGTACATATGGTGGACACATGGCCCCGTTGCACCATACCGGTTGCAACAGGATCTGGAACCCACCACTGTGTTACAGCACTGACCACAGCACCCTTTGAGCCCTTAAGGGAGTTAGTCTTCACCTCCTCTCATGTAAGGTGTTATTCCTAGTGGCTATCACGTCTCCCAGATGGATATCAGAGTTGGGAGCATTTTCGATGAGAAAGGATCTCTGTGTGTTTCATGTGAACAGGGTTGCCCTGCGGGTGGACCCTGCATTTATGCCTAAGGTTAACTCCTTGTTTCACCCAGCATAGGAGTTAATACTGCCAGACTTCTGTCCTAGGCTTCAGCATGCTTTATAAAGGCAATGGCATACATTAGATTATGGAGGGCTCTCCACATTTATATTTCTAGGACCTCTTCATTCAGGAAGACAGAGGCCCTGTTCATATCCTTTCAACCGTCAACTCTGGGCCACAGGTTGACGCCTTCCACAGTGGGTCGTTGGCTAAGGGTTTGTATAGCCAGAGCATATGAGAGCCGGGCCCCGGGGGATCACAGGAACTCTGAGAGTTGAAGTCCACAAGCCTTAAAGTTGACAAGGTTGGAGACCCCTACCCTAGAAAGAACCCTGCTTCTCATATATAGGAGAATAATTTCTGTCTTGGCCTCAAGAGATGCAAGCTGATAGAACTTGTGTGGATTTTATTCTGTTTCAGTCAAATATTTACTTTTGTCTAACAGGTTGCTCTTGGTTTCACGCAATGGTTCTCTTTCCTAATCCATCCATTATGGGGGTTCTTCAGGGTTCACTGATCAATTGTGATTTTCTACCTTTGAACTTCTGCTGGACTTCATGATTTCATCTGAACAGTCATGACTGATTGCTTTTAGAGTCTATCACTGGTGGGATTTCTTTCTTTCTTTCTTTCCTTCCTTCCTTCCTTCCTTCCTTCCTTCCTTCCTTCCTTCCTTCCTTC